TTTTTAAATATAAATAAAGAAAATGTTGTAAACAATCCTTTGCATTCAACTTTGCAAAAGTCTCTAATTTTTTTAGAGTCATTTGCATATAGTAAATTAAACTAATTAAACAGCGATTTTCGAAATAAAATTATACTTCTCTAAATTTTAACATTCCCTAAAAAACAGGCAACACAATTCCAGATTTTTTTTTTCAAAAAAAATTAGATCACATGGTAATGGTAAAATTTAGATTTTACAGACAGTTTATATTAATCTTATACAGGGTTGCCAATCAAATCTAGAAAACAAATTCCTTGTGTTTTCTCTGTACACATTATACATAATATATTAAGAGGAAACGCAATTACTGTGCTCTTGTGTGAGCTATATTGGGCTAACTATATTTATTAGTTTTAATTGCTGGAAAAACAGATGTACACACTCAAATAATGCTATAGAAAATGAAATAGTTTAGTATATTTGAATGGCTAAATATGCCATTAAATTACACTTTGAGTGGTCACCATTTTTTAAAAGACAAAAATAAGAAACAAAATTCCCTGCATTTTCTCAGTTATTTTACGTGATTTTTAAACTCCCTGTATTTTCCAGGTTTTCCTTCTCTCCCTGTGGAGTGGCAACCCTGTTATAATCAGACATTATTTAGCAATTATTCGGTTAATATTTTCATGTGGAAACTGCATATGAAAAAATTTGAAATATCATTTCATCCTGTCAAATTAAACAAAATTTAAATAAACAATAATTTAAGTGACAAACGCAACTTGTAGTATCAGACATCATTTAGCTATCCTTAGGTTTATTCTTCAGGTGGAAACCGCAAATGAAAAATTAGTAGTATCATCATTTATCTTTCTTACAGAACAGTTTTAAATTAATACAATTACATGAAAGGTCAAAATCATTTGAAAAATCTGACGATCCAACATCATTTTGTTTATCCTTCAGGTGGAAACCCCAAATGAAAAATAGTTATATCATTTCAATTCATTCAAATGGAACAAAATTTAAAAAATTTAAGTGACATGTACAACTTGTAATATCAGACATCATTTAGCTATCATTACGTATATTCTTCAGGTGGAAACCGCAAATGAAAAATTAGTACTGTCATCATTTATCTTTCATACAGAAATTATGAAGTCAAAATCACATGTACAAATCTGATGATCAGACATCATTTAACTATCATTAGGTTAATTCCTTCAGGTGGAAACCGCAAATGAAAAATTAGTTATATCATCATTTCAATTCTTTCATATGGAACAAAATTTAAATAAACAATTTAAGTGAGAAGTACAAATGGTAATATCAGACATCATTTAGCTATCATTAGGTATATCCTTCAGGTGGAAACCGCAAATGAAAAATAATTAGTATCATCATTTATCTTTCAAACAGAAGTTTTAAATAAAAATAAATATGAAAAATTAATAGTGTCACCATTTATTGTGCATACAGAAATAAGTCAAAATCACATGTACAAATCTGATGATCAGACATCATTTAACTATCATTAGGTTAATTCCTTCAGGTGGAAACCGCAAATGAAAAATTAGTTATATCATCATTTCAATTCTTTCAAATGGAACAAAATTTGAATAAAAAATTTAAGTGAGAAGTACAAATTATAATATCAGACATCATTTAGCTATCATTAGGTATATCCTTCAGGTGGAAACCGCAAATGAAAAATTAATAGTATCATCATTTATCTTTTAAACAGAAGTTTTAAATGAAAATAAATATGAAAAATTAATAGTGTCACCATTTATTGTGCATACAGAAATAAGTCAAAATCATATGTACAAATCTGATGATCAGACATCATTTAACTATCATTAGGTTAATTCCTTCAGGTGGAAACCGCAAATGAAAAATTAGTTATATCATTTCAATTCTTTCATATGGAACAAAATTTAAATAAACAATTTAAGTGAGAAGTACAAATTGTAATATCAGACATCATTTAGCTATCATTAGGTATATCCTTCAGGTGGAAACCACAAATGAAAAATTAATAGTATCATTTATCTTTTAAACAGAAGTTTTAAATGAAAATAAATATGAAAAATTAATAGTGTCACCATTTATGGTGCATACAGAAATAAGTCAAAATTACATGTACAAATCTGATGATCAGACATCATTTAACTATCATTAGGTTAATTCCTTCAGGTGGAAACCGCAAATGAAAAATTAATACTATCATTTATCTTTCTAACAGAAGTTTTAAATGAATATGAAAAATTAAACTCATTAAAAAATCCGATGATCAGACATCATTTAACTATCATTACGTTGATTTGTTCAGGTGGAAACCGCAAATGAAAAATTAGTTATATCATCATTTCAATTTTTTCGAATGAAACAAACTTTAAACAATGTAAGTGACAAGTAACTTCTAATATCAGACATCATTTAGCTATCATTAGATATATTCTTCAGGTGGAAACCGCAAATGAAAAATTAATAGTGTCATCACTTATATTTCATACAGAAAATATGAAGTCAAAATCATTTGTACAAATTCAATGATCAGACATCATTTAGCTATCATAAGGTTAATTCCTTCAGGTGGAAACCGCAAATGAAAAATTATTTATGTCATCATTTCAATTCTTTCATATGAAACAAAACTTAAATAAACAATTAAAGTGACAAGAACAAACTGTAATATCAGACATCATTTAGCTATCATTAGGTATATCCTTCAGGTGGAAACCGCAAATGATAAATTAATAGTATCATCATTTATCTTTCATACAAAACAGTTTTAAATAAAAAAAGTATAAAAAAACCAAAAACATTTGTACAAATCCGATGATCGCATTTAGCTATCATTAGGTTAATACCGTTATATGGAAACCGCAAATGAAAGATTATTTATGTCATCATTTCAATTCTTTCAAATGGAAAGAAAATTTAAATAAACATTTTAAATGACAAGTACAACTTCTAATATCATTAGGTATCTTCAGGCGGAAACCACAAATGAAAAATAAATAGTTTCATCATTTATCTTCTTTCTATACAAAATAGTATTAAAGGAAGACCCTAGGAATAAAAAATAACAGGGTTCCTCCTAATAGAAATGGGCCACTTAGAGAGAGTTTTGAAAGTGCACTCACTCAACAAAGAAAATTAATCAAAACGTCTAATATTATATACTAATGAATTTGATCCTCAACACTTTTTTAAATTGCCCTCTTATGCTATTTTATTTATATGATTCAAAAAGTAATTTTTCATAATCATTATCGAAATAACAATTTGTAATTTATAAAAAAAATAAAGGCATGCTAAAAAGACAACCTCTGTGCATAAATGTTTTTAAAAAAAAAACTAAATATGAAGATTAACAATTTTTCTACAATTTAAACTGAAAATTCAGAGAAAATGAACACATAAAAATAAATTTTTAAAAAAAGGTATTTAAAGAATTTCAAAATCATTCAAAAAATATACCCTTCCCTGAAAAAAAATTTTTTAATTTTACCAGTTGAGAAAACTAATAAAATAAATTTCTGTATGCAAGTCATATTTATTTTTTTTATACAGAGTAAATATTGCACACATGCAAAAATAGCATACTACCTCGTAGGTAATGCACACCTACATTAAAATTGACATGCAAATTGGATATCAGTATCTTATTTAATGCTAGTTTACCTTCAAACCAGATTTATAAGGAGCAAAATCAAAACTTCTGATAAAATAAACAGGGTGCGTAGCCAAATCTTTGAAGCAAAAATAAGCACTTTTTAAAAACTTTTCAAGCACTTTACAAAAATTTTCAAGCACTCAAAAAATTCATATTTAATCAATGATATTATTGAAAAATAAAATCTTTTTATAAACAGTTTTAACGTTAAAAAAAAACCCAAAAAGAAACAGACATAAATCGTAACAATCAATACTTTCCCACATCACCGAGTGAATTCAACTTGACTCTGAACTCAGAACAAAAGTACCCTTACCCCCTACGTCAAAAAAATGTTAGAAGTAAAATAAAATAAACAAGAATAAAATTAAAATAAATTAAAAAGAAAAACATTTCATAAGGATCTGATATTTTCTATCCGAATTGGAGCACTCGGATTTCGGTTTCGAGTGTGCGCGCATGCGCAAGTCATAATGTGGGTACGACATGAAGTTCGCGTGAATGATTACGTAGCAAACACCCCATTTCTTGTGAAATGCATGGAATCCATCAGATATCACTGAAGGGTAAAAAAATTATTCGTGAAAAAAGCACTTTTTAAAAACGCCTGCTGAAAAAAGCACCTTTAAAAGCTTTTAAAAACGAAATCCCCAAAAAAGCACCTTTAAGTACTTTTTACAAACGCTACGCACCCTGAATAAATTTTTAAGGAAAAGTATTTTGTGAAACTACTGTTTTTCCTAAAGTTGAATTTGTGAAGGTACCGCTTAACAGTAGTAAATTTGACCAGGACAGATCCCTGGTTATGTATTATGCTTATTCATAATTTTGAATTTTAATAGACATTTAATTCTTCAAAGATATTTATAAGTTTTCTTAAATTAATTTAAGAAGAAAGTTTTGAATAAATATAAATTGAACATTTTGGAACAAAAAAGTTTTACTGATTTCTATAAATGAGGTTCACTTCATTATGTATAAGTAATACTTATTTAAATAATCAAGCAAGAAAGCAATAATTGTAAAAAAAATCCATTTTAATAAGGAATTTTTTAGGAAACTCAATTTTGGGGAATTTTCTAAAATGTACAAAGACCAGGAGAATTTTAATTAAACCAGTAGATCAGGAGAAACTGGCAAAATCCAGTAGTCTACTGGAAAATCCGATAGAGTTAGCAACTAACTATGCAAAAGTATTATTTATCCCTTAGATTTAAATAAATTAGTAAATCTGTTTAAACCAGAAAAAAAAAACTGATTATTATATACAAGAACAAAAATTATAAGCAAGAAATATCAACATATAATATTAAAAGGAAAATTTCACACATACTAAGTCAAATCCCACAGTCTTAGAGTCTTATCCCATGAACAAGACAAGGCATATTGTCCATCAGATGACATAACAACATCAGTGACGAAATGTCCGTGACCTCTCAATCGTTTTTGGGGAATACCATAATTGTCATCTCTGGTCAGCTTCCACATAATAAGAGTCTTATCTGAAAATAAATGCTTATCAGAATATAAATAAGAATTTTAAGATAAAATATATTTATTAGGTCAATAATTAGATTAGACAATTTTCTTGGAATTAGGAGATATCAGCATGCGTGATAATCCAAACATTGAATGAAAAAAATATTTTTAGCTTATAAACACAGACTTAAAATATTATGCATACAAATATACGAAGTTAAGTCACGCTTTCGCTCTCCGTGAGTGTCATCCCTTCTCAAATACCAGTTAGATCGTTTCAGAAACTAAAAGATTCTCCCGTCTATTAATTTAGAAATTTTACCGGAGAGATTTCCACATATGATCTGCGGCATAATAATCGCCAAGACTTGGCAACTTCCACGAGCAATAGTGGATGAGAATTTGTGCCAGGCTTGCTCAAAAAAATCCTGATGATGATTCTATTATAGGGTACCTAACCAAATCCTTCAACCCACAATAACAAAAAATATTTTTAAGTACTATATACAAATTGCAATGAAATTTCACAGACTATACATGATCATGATAAAATAACTAGTTTCTGACAAATAACTCTTTTCTGGATTATATTAGCCACCATAATCAATTTCAAAAGGTGGAAAATGAAGTCTGAAATTGAGAATATCTTGAATACAGCAGAGTTGCACATGAGGGTGCTAGAATCTTGCCAAACCCAGCTCAGTAGACACACCTGCGGACTCGCGAGTATTTCATCAAACTTGCAAAATGATTGGCGTTTTATTAGCTATGGGTGAACGGTACGCTGAAATTGATTGAGGTTGAATGAGTAGTGAATAACGTTGAATAGAACCAGGGGTCTGTCCAGGCCAAATTTACTACCGTTTAAGGGTACCTTCACAAATTCAACTTTAGGAAAAACGGTAGTTTCGCAAAATACTTTTTCTTAAAATTAAATTTTTTTATCCTGTAAGAAACGATATATCCATATTTTCTTGTTGATTTTTTAATATAATTTTTCATTTTCACCAATTATGTCTAAATTTTCACAAAATAGGTACCTCTCAGAAAAAGCTAGACAGACCCCTGAGAACAATGTGAAAAGTCGGTTTTTGCACAATACGTGTCAAAAATCGACACAGTATAGAAAAAAATCTCATTTTTTAAGAAAAAAAATTAAGCACTTTTTAATAATAAAAACCCCATAAAAAAGTACCAGTAAGAGCTTTTAAAAAAAATATGAAAATCAATAATACGCACTTTTTAAAAAACACTATACACTATTCATTACTAATGTTTGAAAATTATTATTAGTGTTTTAAAAAGTGTGTTCAAATTTTACATATGTGTTTATACTGACATTGTAAACATTTTAACAGGAAGTAAATAATTGTTTTATTGAATATACTTATACACAGGAAAATATCTTCATTTTCAAGACTAATATCTCTTCCATACTTTTTCAAAGCAGTATGAAATATTACACGTTGACCCACTTGCATAATTTTCTCATGTTTATCATTAAGCAACACATGGCCTGGTTTTTACGCAAGTTATGTTTGCATGTAGCTTATCAGAACATGAATAAAAAATGATCTTAGTTCTTATATATGCAGAGAAGGAAATCAAAATAACACATGTATATATCATTATATGAAGTGGTTCATTTCATAACAACCCGATTCTCAGCTAGTAAGTTAATAAGTACATTCATAATTGAAGAGAACAGATTAAGAATGCAATACAATATAAATTTCACTTATATTTAAATACTAACATGTAAATCATTTGCTTTTTTTACTGCAGACATCTCAAGTACATATAATCGAGAATCGGTGAAAAATAGTTAATGAAATAAAGCAATTACATGCGATCATATACTTAAAAAATTTGACTTGATTATAGATGATAAGAAATGTATAAAAATGGATTTCAACTTGAAACATATTGATACAATACCTCTTGATGATGACAAGATCATATCAGGAAATTTGGGATTAGTAGCAATTTGGGTGACCCAATTGTTATGGCCACGTAAAGTGCCTTTCAAATTTAATTGCTCCGTCATCTTTGTTACAAATTCTACTTATATTATAACTTGATTAATAAAGATTCTATATTAGAACCGTATCTACGTTCAAGCGGCCATGGATGAAGAATAACAACACAGAGGAAAGAAGTAGTCAAAGTTGCAGTGAAACCGCGAAAGATAGCGTAGTCTGCCGAGGTACAGAGTTTGCACTCTCATTTTAAAGGCTAAATTTTACTGAAGAATAAATCAATCACTTCTCAAAGATTCTCAAGCACTTTCTCTCTGATTTTTTTATCAAAAGAAAAATAAAAAAATTATAAAATATACGCTAGCCAAACAAAGTATGATATTATATGAGCATTTTTGTACTTTTCTTTAGTTATAAAGTCACAATAATAGCTAAAATTATTAAAAAAATAATAATAATCTCTAATTTTTATCAGCGAAGTTTCTCTAACAAAAATAAATATATCACAAGATAATGATAGGTAGGAAGATAGGTACTTTATTTACGTCACACTAGAGCTGCAAAATGGGCTATTGAAGACTGTGTGGAAAACATACCTAAAAATGATCCAACTCCTCCGCTTTTGTAGTCCAACAACCTGAGAGCGAATTCGAAGAATTTAGGGTAGAGCAGTTTAACGAGGACCCGTGGTCCGTTAAAAGGCTGATCAAAGTGGTCTCCTACCCGCTTACTGACAGCCGCCAGTGAATCTTCACTTCGGTGTTCTACTTTACGATCAGTTCACTGCGGGACCACAAATTAATGGAATCAAGTGAAGTCTCAATGTAAAAGTCATGCAAGAATGTTGAGTCAATATTCGTGAGACAAGGTAAGGTGTCAAGTGGAGTAGTGATTATTAGAGAGGCAAGTTAGGTTGTCAAATTCAGTATGTCAATATCCATGAGACAAGATGAGGTATCCAGTCCAGTGAAACAACATTAATAAGACAGGATAAGTTGTCAAATTCGACAAGTCAAAACTTGTAAAATGAAATAGGGTGCCCAATACAATAATTCAAAATTCTCTAGCAAGACAATGTAGGGCATGCCACAGCAAGTTATATGACTATATATGAATGAGCTCTTAGCTCGAGTTCCTTCTTGCGGAAGACACACCTTTCTCAATTTAATTCGAAAATTCACATTAAAAAAATGTCATTGAAAATCAAAACAGGATTTTTTTCTGCTGATATTTCTTATATTCTCAAAACATTTGCTCCAAAATAACCATATCCCAATTTCTAGGTGGGAACCGATATCTCAAAGTCTGCTTCAACCTGTCTGTCTAATTCAGTTTCCGATTCCACATGCTTATGTTCGGCCAGCACAATATCCCAATCTCTCGTTTCAAACTCATCTTCACAACACTTTCCACTCTTCTTTCCATGCTTAAACCTAAATTAATATAAAAGATTTGATATAAATATTTACATATTAAATTACTAATAGTCAACGTTTTACTGGTCACACTTTTTTTTCTTTAAAAGGGAACGCTGATGTAATATTTTCAAACTAATCTACAATTCTTATTTTTGCACCAATGGATCAATATGTTCAATCGAAAATATTGTGGAAAAATTAATATATCTTGTGCATTAAAGAATAAAATTTTTACTTTATGTCAACACTATTGCTCCATTCAGAAAATAAAACTTTATATTAAATTAACGTTATGTTGGTCCATTAAGAAAAGAATTTAGTTTAAAATTTTTTTAACTCTAGTTTTTTAATAATTTTAAATGCTGTTATTTTGCTTCAAAAAGTTTAAAAAAATAATTTCACCTCCTTTTGTGTATGATACTCATTATTCACATTTTTCAGAGTGAATATGTTTAAATTAGTTTAAATCTTTACAAAATTTTAATAAAATATGATCATATGCAGTTTTAACTCATTTCCTAGTTTTTCGTATTTCATTTGTAAGTAAGAACTACTAATTTAAAACTAAAAAACTGTTCTCGTCAAAATAGAACGCTGAAAAGAAAAATGCTATTTGAGTTGTAAATTATTATACAAAAATAGTATAAAATCTATACAGAATATTTCACAACTAACTTTTAACATAATTCTTATTATAAATATGAGTTAATTAAGTCTCTTATATTGCGAGGGAATGTATCGCAAAATAATACTTATAAAAACATGTTACTTTAAATTACAGATACAGATTACAATATTTTCTCCTTTATATTCTAAAGTTTTTAAACATATGCTCTTAATATTATTAAATACTTATTCGAAATTCTATCGATATTAGACCAACAATTTCATTAAATGCATTAATAATAATAAGGATCCGAAGATCTTAAACATTATAAAACTACTGAGTGTCACATGGTTAACCCTTTGACGGAGAATTTTTATTAAACATATTTTTCATAATTTTTTCATTATATTGTATTATTTCAGGTTAAAATAAGTGAAAAATATTATATTTAGCATTTTAATTTATGGTTATAAAATACAGCATGAAACACCATTTTCTTTTTCTGCAATAATGGTAAAATCTTTCAAACACGGCTCATTTCCAAAGAATAATATGATAGAAAATTTATTTCGAATTTCTGATATGCGTATTACGCAATATATTTCTACCATTGGATGCCCTGGTTAATGAATAAGCAATCAATATGTGCTTATATATTTATTAACAAAACGTAACAATAAAAATTAACTATTAGACTGAAAACGAAAATATTAATAAAACATGAGAAATAAAAAATAACAGGAGCTTTCAAGAGGTGCTCCCTCCGACGTGAGTGTATCGAGAACAACTAACAAAAAATATTTTGATTAGCGACGGATTGGCTCCGCCGAAATGAATTAATTCGTAACATAATATTTTAAATTAGCACTTATTTGCAGTTATTTTGACCTAAGATAAACAGTTGTCCATCACCAAAATTTCGTTAACTTACAAAATCAATTATTAATAAATCTTTGTTTATGAATAAAAAACTTTTTTTTTTCAAACCACTTTGTTTTCGTTCTTATATCTTAATAAAAATACAATTCCTATAATGTAACAGATTTTTTTTAGTAACTTTTAGACTTTTTTTTATAATATAAAAATACCAAAATAAATTTTTCCCTGTCAATATATATAAAAAGAACACCGGTGTCTCATCTACGTCAAAAGATAATCATATACGATTGAACTCGCTTTCAAAAAGTGCGAAGGAATTGCAATATTTGTTTGTTGCAACAGAGTTCTCGCAACAAACGGGTTCCTTTAAGAATCATAACAGTTAATGCATACTTAGTAAATAGTGCTACTAAATAGTAATATAGTACTTTATTTATTTTTCATTTCTGTACAACACCGAAGAAGTTAATTTGCTTTGATCTGCCTTTTTGTTTCTTTATTCTTAGAATAAGACTCAAGGCCTGAAAACATCATCGACATAAAAAAAAGATATCGTAGCCCCGAAAAACATTAAAAAGGAATTTTTCCAAAAAGTGATTAGCTGAGCTGAATTTAGATATAATTTTTAGAATTTAGATATATTTTCACTGAAAGTCAGATATTCTCCTGCGTTCACCTTTCTGAAGATCTTAAAAAGTGTTGAGATAGAAGCCAGTAACGTTTTCTAGCTTTTGAAGGACTCAATAAATCCGAGGAACGGGAGAATTACTTTTTTATTTATTTTTCAGGTGGAAAAGACGGTTATACAGATACATAATAAGTTTTGCTTGTAAACACACCTATATGAAATAAATGTTTATTTTTAGATCCTTAATTCGTGTAGCATAGAAATAAAGTTAATATGTAAAGCTCTAAAATATTTTGGATTTTTTTTATTATTTTAAATAAGAACAAAATTTTATTAAAAGGAAAATAAAGTCTTCTCCTGGCTCTATACAAATAATACTTCGGGAAAAAATTTAGTACGAACTATTACGTCTAATTAGTAAGTTACTCTCTTTACATTTTAACAGTAACTTCTGTTTAGTTATCACAATGATTTGTACAATTTTAAATTAGCTAAAAATTATTTTCTATCCTTACACATAGAAACTTCTAAAACAAAAAGTTGGAAAATTTTTTAACATGCCAGTCGCATTAAGAACTAAATTTTCACACAATACTTTCTCTGAATTTATTTTATATATAATTATGACTAGATGGCAGCACCAGCAATAAAATCGGAAGTTTCGTATACTTATTCATTGTAATTGAAGATTTCGATCAGCATTCCTCTTTGTTATAATATTATAATTCTGTCTGCTAATATTCTTTTATTTATATGTAAAGTGATAAATAAAGAAAAAAAGAATCAATTTTGAAGGTGGTTAGATTAAAAAATATCATAGCCTATTTCGATGTCAGAAGAAACTTTAATTATTAATAATAATCAATTACTTATTTAAAAAATTATTTATTTAAAAAAATATTTATTTATTACAATTATTTATATAATAAATAGTAGATATAGTTTCTAATGTTGCAACAAGGCTTTAAAGTAGTTAAATTTTTTGGTTTGAAGATTTATTAACAGAGAATAACTTCTTTTCTCTTTAATCAAAAAGGATTTATTTTACTATTTCCAATTTCGAGAAAAATAAATAAATTTTTTTGATATTTTGTTCTGTTTTTCTTAATAAAGAAAAGTAAAAATATTTCAATGACGTGCGGGTCACATAAAAAGTAAATTTTATTTATTTGTAGGAAAAACGGGAAACTTTTATGTCCCATACTGCTGGCTGCCACTATATGGCAGCATCATTAGATGTAGTCATTATCATTTCAGACTAAGATACGCTTTCAACCCCGAAATGGTGCTGGCTATTACTATATCTCCATCTTCATGGATTATTGATACTTAGATGTAGCTAGATGTAGTTTTTAGAATTATATATTAAAAAAAGCAAAATTATTTTAAATAATATACTACGAATATTTTTAGTAGATTGGTCATTATTAATTATTAAGCAGAAATTAAATTTATCACATGAAAATTACATGCAAGTTAAAAGGAGCATTTATAAATTTTGAAAAAAAGTATATATTACTTTTTATGCAATTAAATATTTCTACAAATTTTAATTTTTACTTCTTTTATAAATTTGAACTATACTTGATTATAATTAACCAACAACACAGTTAAAATATCATTTATTCAGCTCCTTGCTATCGAATTTCGATTACTTTTCAGCCAACGTCCCTTTAAAAAAAT